GGGGGGGGGGGGGGGGGGGGGGGGGGGGATTATAGCATGCTTTCATGTCCCGGCGTCTGACCTCGCCTTAAACCGGACCATAATTGCAGGGGGGCTTTAATGGCTAGAATTAATTGATTTCCGTTTAAAAATCGGTCATATCCTGCACTCGGGCTGCTCCCCGCCATGATCCCCCAGCCCCCAGATCCCCCTCGAAACACCCAGGAGTTTAAGCATGAGGCAGCAGTGGTCGGGACTCTGCTTGGGCTTTACCTCGTGGCCAGTGAAATATGGTAGCTGTCGCATTAGGAAACCCATTGAAGTTAATGAATTCTCTGCTTTTTTTTCCCTCTCCCGTGAGCCACATCTGTTGGAATGGGGGGGGGTGGACTTCGTGATCCAGACTCACGGGCTGGTGGGGGTGGGGGGGGGGGCACATGCAGCGAGACATGGGAACAGGTTCACAGGTTGGCCAGCTCATACGGTCCAGGGAACATGAACGTCACGTCGCAGCCGTAGCCGCTCCAGGTTGGCTGTTTGGTAAGTATTCTTCTCCTGTTTTTCTTCGGGAAAGGCGTGTCTGCACCTAAAATATGTCTTTTTTGTTGTGCTTCCCGGCAGGAATGAATTTCATGAATTACTTGTTTAGCAAGACCTTGTTTACCAAGTTTACCTTGTTACCTTGATGACTTGTGCTTTTCACACAGCTGGGTGTGCTTGTCAAAACCGTCGTGATTGATTACCCTGTTTAAGGACACAACAGCAGTCATTGCCTTGGAACGCTTGTGCACATGTCCAGCTCCTTAACCGCTGCACCACCTTCTGGCCCTGAAGATAAGCTGCAGCTGTGATCAGCTAAGGTCCAAGGCAACTTGCTTCTTTGAGGCATGTAGTTGGAATGTGCTTCAGTGGGGTCTTGGTGACACGTAGCTATTGTATGGAGGTGAGGTGGCTATTTGTGAAAGCCGTCGTTCGCGAATCACTTCTGCACGGCCCCCCCAGTCACTTCTGCATGGCCCCCCCAGTCACTTCTGCACTTGCCCCCACTCTACCCAAAGGAAGTTTCCTTTCCCTTGGGGTGGATTGCATACTGCAGCTGGGGAGTTGAAGTTGAGCCACACTGAGCCCTCGGATTCTCCCTTCACTGGGGTTCGGCTATTTTGGCACGGATTAAAATGGCGAGAAATCGCGGAATTAGTCTTTTCAAATGACGCTTTATTAAACGCGTGTAATTTTAATGACTTTTTCAGCAGAGCTGAAAAGTGCCATTTGAAAAGCATTAGCGCTAATTGCTCAATCAGTGCTTGACTCGGATCAGACAGCACATCCCTGGGCACTGATGTTATAAGAGCGATGTCTCCAGCCCCTTGCTGATTGGGTAATTCAGCCGGCTGGCCGTGCGTGTGATAATGATGTATCGCGGGCCTCGCTTAATAATCTCTCTGGGTATGTAGGTGGAACATAAACAAATGTGGATGCCCCACCACTGAAGCTGCTTCCCAACATGGGGGGGCACTGAAGATGCTGCCCAACATGGGGGGGGTGGAACTGTGTCCATGTCACAGGATATGTTGGGGAACTGAAGCCTATGTAGGCCTGACATCAGATGGGAGTAAAAAAGACTGATGAGCATCGCAACTGATGCATGGATCGCATGCAGTTACCTGAGATAACTGAAAATAAATGGGGAAAAATGCCGGTTTTTTAGCTGGATTCAGGAAAAAAGGAGCATTTGTGATAATTTCTCAAAAACAAAACAAAACTGCTGTTTGTAGGCAATGGTACCATGAATAAATTTTGGGGTGATGGAGGCTTTGGGCTGCATTACACTCGGTCAGAATTCCAGCATGTTGGTGTGGAAACAGATTCTTTCCTTAACAATTTAGGGGTTTTTCCCTTTTTGTTCCCAGCAGTGCCTGATATTTCATGTCATCGTGCCTTATTTGTTTTTCGTCCGGCTGGAGCCCTTTCCTTCCTTTTCACATTTCTATGTTTTCGTTCTCCCTTCCGTTATTGGGCCTCGTTCGCTCGCCCGGCGACTTGACCGCGGCGACTCCCTCGTACGTGGCCAGAAGCCGCTCGCCGCGACACCAGCGTCGATTACCAAAGCGACGTATCTCTCGGCACAGGAAACAGAAAGCTCGCAGGTGGGGCCCGGCACTTTCCTTGGGACCTCGCAGAGAATTCCTTGCAGACACAGAGGAATGACACCCCCCCGCCCCCCGCCCAATGCTGGCGGCTTCCCAATTCTGGAACTACCAGCCACAATCACCGGATAACAGAGCCCAGGCCGTCCCCTTGACTTCGTACCGGAAGGTCCAGCCTCTGCATAGCTTGAGCGTTTAACTCCCCATTTTCCAGCTGGCCTGATCCACTGACAAATATCCAATTTCAAAGTAAATGCAACCTCGCAATAATGTATATTTCACCATGTAAGTAATCAAGACAATGTCAGCATATACAGTGTATTTGTAGATACTCCCGCTCAGACTGAATGTCATCAGGAGAAGAAAATAAAAAAAACAGGAAGTGATGTTGCAGCGACGAGTGCCCATTTCCTTAGGCCTTACATGCTGAGTGCCAAGGCCAAGGAAGAGGAGGGTCCCTCACCCCCGACACCTCAGCCCCCCCACGCCAGACACAACATCCTGCCTTCAGTTGGAATGGCTGTCCTTGGGCTGGTGACAGACTCTTCCCCTGGCGCTGAGTTGGAGATGAGGGGGATTCCCAGCAGCTAGTGCTCGAGCGGAAGAGTGAGTTGGAGGGGGGGGGGTGGTAAATAAAATGAGACAGACACCGAAAGAGATTCTGCAGGGCATGTGGAAGCCACTGCGGGCCCCCTCCCACGTGAAAGTGCCTCACTGCGGCGTGACCACCACTGTCACGCGTCCACTCGCCTTAAAAATAGCTCAGAGAACACTTTCACCCCCCCCCCATATTTTCGAGGCCTGTGATCTCTCAGGTTTGCCCCGTCATGGGCCAACGCGCATCCTCATTCCGATGATTTACGCAGACGGTGGTCGCTCTGCCGTGGTTCCCATCTCCGCCATCTCCAGACGAATAAATCAGCCTGCGCATTTACAGTAGTGTGTGGTACGGGGGGGGGGGGGGGTAAAAGGGGAAACGAGGTCAAAAGTTTAACCGTGGTGGGAACAGTGTCCCACAGGGAAAGAACACACACGCACACGCGCATGGCGGCAGGAGACGAATGGGTCGGATCCACCGTCATCTGGCCCCGGCGGCTCTCCGAAGCTCTGACACGGAAAGGCCTTTGAGATCCTGGTTCACGAGCCATGGAGAGGTCACCTTACGACACAGAGTGATGATCTCAAGGCTGTAAGAGGGAGCGCTATCTTCCCCGCGAGAACGATAACGGCGTGTTACTGAGACGTAGGAGCTGTGCAAACAATTCATTTATCTCTGGGGATTTAGGTGGATGGGTGGGCCTCTTAATTCGGGACCTGGATGTGGTCTCTGTGCACATTGGCCCGTAAGACGTGAGCTGTAGGATGAATTGATGTGAAAAACAAGGCGCCATGTTCGTGGTGGTCAGATGCTGGACTTCCGTCTTGGCAAAGCCGTATCAACAGAAGTATCTCTGAGTCAGGAGAAGAAGTCGTGTTTCCCTGGACGACGTGTGTGCAATTTGTGTTACAAATCACAGCTCGTCTTCCCAGTCCACAGAATCAACCATTCTCATCCAGAGTCCACCTCACATCCACAGCATCTCAGATTCTTGAAGCTCTTGAAGGCTCATAGACACAAAAAGGCTCCTTTCTTGCTAGATTGTCAGTTATCATCGGACTGATTACCGGCAAACCTGCATGATCCTGTTCCGACGGGTCCCTTCTCCTGCGATACCTGCCTATATTCTGTGATGTATGCTATTTTATCGTGTGATTTCCTTGCGAGGAGAGGTACATGAAGGACTGCTGCTGTTACATCCTCTCCCCAGTGTATCCTGTCGGACTTTCTTGGCAGCAGATCAAGGTGGACCTGAAAGCGGCACTCTGGGGTGTGTGTGTGCAGCGTCGAGACACAGCCCTCATTAGCGGGCTCAGCAGCCTTCCACGACATGCTTTAAAAAGTGAGTAATGTGCCGCATTCGGCTTGGCTGCACCAGTTTAATAAATGCTACAGTTTTATTACCGCTCCTTTTAAATGAAGGCTTCTTGCTCTCTTTTTTTCTCTCGCAGGGGTCTACATTTCTGCCATTGTTGTAGGTGGCAGCTGAGGGATTTCCTGCTTTTTGGGTACCACTGCAATTAAAGGCAAGGAAGAGGACACAGCTGGGAAAAGGTGTCTTTGAGAGATCCTCCCTTCAGCTCAAAATAGCGCCCCCTGGTGCTGGGAGGCAACCGACAAGTGTCCGGGGTCTTGGATTGCCTCTGAATTACCGTTTGTGAAGGATGAGGGTCAGTTTCATCGAATCAAATACTATACTGACAAGACTGTGAATCTCGTTAATATGAAAAACAAGCTGGATAAACAGTACGATTAAATACCTATGTAAAATCACTCAGTCTGCATACACATCAAATAAACATAGCTGAATCGTCCTCTCTGGATAGTGTTTGTAGAGTATTTAGAAAAGTAAAAACTTATTATTTTGTTATCTGTTGAATAGCTCTTGGCTGAATTACCTGTTTTTATAATTTTATAACGGCCCCACATGGCCCTACCTCGCCTCCCCACACTTGCGATCTCTGCAGTGATCCCCGAGGACAGGATTCCGGAGCGTAATCGGAGGAGGCGGACACTGCCGGTTCCCCAGCAGCTCCCGGGGATCCCAGATATCGATTACGCTGCATGTAATTACTGCCTAAGTGATATCACAGCATGCATTGGCCTCCCGTGAATGAAGCACACAGCGAGGGCAATTAGAGGCAGCTGCCCATTAATTGGTGAAGATATGCAGCTTTGCTTCTTCACTCTCTCTTTTAATGTGGTTTGGGGGGGGTGGGGGCGCGATAGCGTCAGGACGAGGCGCGTCCTCTCCATGCCACGCATCTGTAATTTCCCTTACTGCCGCTGTTTTCATCTCTGAGGAATAGAGACAACCATTCGGGGGACTATGCAGTTTGTATAATAGGCAGCTGCTGTTGGGGGGTATAAATTTCCACTGAGGAACATTTGAGTTGCATTTAAAAGAAACAGAAACTTCTGAGACAGTTAAGAAAACCGTCTGTGTAATTTTAACAAACCTTTCGAATGAACTGCTGTAACTGGGGTTAAGGAGCCACCCAGACGTTACACTTAATGACCAACTCAGGCTGTCCATGCAAAGAAACCTGCGGTTTGTGGACGTTTAGAAATGATTCCCCCAAGCCTCTGGTTTGTTTGGACGGCACAGCTGACATGAAAAGAAGTTCACTTAGAAAAATAAAGGCTGGGCCTTGTCATCGAAGGCCACGCTGTGCATTTTGTAGGACAAACCAGTCTAAGGTGGTTTCTCTCTACTTGTATTCATTCCTCTTTAATCTTAAGTGCTCCGTTTTGTTTACCAGAGTCTGCTGCAACGAGCTGTGGGGCATTCCTGCACTGAGCTCTGCTGCTTTCCCAGAAATTATGCTGGGCACCAGTCATGAGGCCCCTATGGTTCTCTGCATTGGGCACCCAAGCCTGATCACGAGGCCTTCAGGGTCCTATGCATTGGGCACCCAAGCCTGATCACGAGGCCCCCTAGGCCCTGTGAACTGGGCACCCAAGCCTGATCACGAGACCTCCAGGGTCCTATGCATTGGGCACCCAAGTCTGATCACGAGGCCCCCTAGGCCCTGTGAACTGGGCACCCAAGCCTGATCACGAGGCCCCCTAGGCCCTGTGAACTGGGCACCCAAGCCTGATCACGAGACCTCCAGGGTCCTATGCATTGGGCACCCAAGTCTGATCACGAGACCTCCAGGGTCCTATGCATTGGGCACCCAAGCCTGGTCACGAGGCCCCCGCCAGAATCTATTGCCCCTCTAGGACCAAATATCCATATAAATATCTACATGTTTTTGTACTAAAATATGTAACAGGATTACATAACTCAACACATAAGCTCCACCTATGAGTTTATTTCCAACATTACTGCTTCTGCATGTTAAATTGAATCCAGTTGAGATGTCGTAGTAGCCAGCTGGAAAAGCTTTACTCTCTTTTTTAATAATTCACAAGGGCTTATTAGGTAAAGCCTGTTATGTAGGGATGGCTAATTAAATTTGAGAGCACTTGTGAAAACGTGAGCTCCTGTCTGCATGTGGGCCCTCTAGCATATCACTATGACTAATTAGTGCGGAGTCACACTTGCGATTAATAGCAGATGAAACGGCGGAACTTATAAACACCCCCCTTTGAAAATTGGCCCAGTAAACGGTCGGCGGTGATGCGGCCGCGGACCGCCGGCTCGCTCTCCCGCAGCGAGCTGTGCCGTGGGAGACTTTCTGAGGAAAGTGCAACAAACAGAAGCGCTGGTGAGTGCCACGTTAGCGACCACCGCACCAGTGGGTGTGAAAAACTTTTGAAAGTGGAAAAAAGTTTGTGATCATAAGAGCTATTGATTCATGGGCGTTCCCACTTTGCTTTCGAGGGCTTTGCGATTTTTAGTCACCAGAAGAGCAGCTGTTTGCATCCCTGATAGCCTATTATCATTACACGATTTAGGCAGGAACGTGTTCAAATTTTATTGCTCCAGCTGAAAAGTAGATGGGTGTTTTGCTTAGATTTCTGCTTGACGGGGTGCTGAAGAACTATGCCTGGACAAACAAGGTTCAGTTCTGGAGCTCACCTGCAACACACTAATGTTAAAGCTTACCCACTGGCCCCCACAAGCAGTTAAACTGACCCCCGTGTTCATTACGCGTGAGGAATGAACGATGGCCTTGATTGCCAATTAGGGCACATCGCGAGACTTATGTGCTTTGAAACGTGAGGGATCATGCGGCAGGCAGTGGGATGTCTTTTAGGACGGACCACTATCAGAAGGACTTCAGGGTTAAGGTCAGCGGTCTAATAAGAAACACACTCGCCCCCAGCAACGGGCTAAATGCTTTCAAGATCCTTCTCGCTTTCTGATTGCTGCCTTTTAGACATTGCTAGAGTGACCCCCCACCCCTCGTAAAATAAGGAGCCTCTATCGGGCCTTTTTAAATAACGCTCGGGAGATTTATCCCCTGATAGTTGCAGTCATGCTGTTTTAGCCCTGTGCCTGGGGCACATTCCCATGTGCGCGGCTGTTTTCACGGATGACGTCCCGGCGGTCGGCTCACGAGGGCGGTCTGGCGGGCGGGTGGGCGAGTGAAGCGCTTCTTTTGTGGGGGGGGGGGCATAGCCGCTGTCCGTGGCACTTCACCTTAATCCACCTTATAAACAAAACAAAAAAGCAACCACCAGGACACCGTACGCTGAATGGCACGGCACTGCATACCAGCAGTTCCACGCTGCAGCCAAACACACAGCAAACACCATACCACCCACCCACCCACATCACCTGCAGGATGTGCTGCTGTGGTTATTCTATTTTTTTTTTTTAATGTAAACACATTTACAACTCTCCCCCCTCCCTAACACTTGCAGCAAAAGTAGTAAAACTATCACACTGTTCTCTGCTACTTCACATTGCCTTTTAAAATGCCAGCTCATCTCTGCCACTGCAGCTGGTCGGTGGCATGCAGAACCCCCCCCCCCCGACCTGTAGGGGGTGCTGTTGCTTCTAGGCCGTACTCCTAGAGATGAGTGCATCGCCATCTGTTGTTTGAGTTTGGGCAGAAACAAGAATGACGCATAGGATCGCCTTCCAGAGGGCTGATGAGTCAGAAACGTAAGGACTCGAGCCCAAGGCCACCCTGCCGGAGGTGTAATACGTGCAGTAGGGCGATAGGGGGAGCTCTCACACTTGAACCCAGTCACAAACATGAGGACACATTTTTCAGTCTCACCATCCATCTGTCGCCATTCCCTCCAAGCGCTCCTCAGCTCCTGAGTCATTTGGAACTCAGTAACTCAGCAGCCCCCCCCCCCCCAGCCCAGCCCCACCAGCCCCCACCCCCTGCTGCTCTTTCTCACTTAGGACAGGGTGAATTCCTGCTGCCTGTGCACCATGGACCACCATGCCTCTGTGTTTAGAGATACAGGATTAGTGTAACTTTAGCAGCATAAGCTAATGCTGGTTTGACCGTGAATGAGGCCGGTTGGGTTTCTGGGGGGGTAACAATGTGAAGGTGAGCCATCTGGAACCGGGTGCTGCCCTGCCGTTGATGTGTCCTATCAGGCAGCAAATTCCACCCTTTCTCTTAACCTCACAGACTTCCTGGTCCCTTGTCATACCATATTTGTCCTGTACAGACAAGCGTAGCCTTTTAATGAACTGTTCCTCTTTTAGCCGAGCATGTGTCTGAAACACTTAATGCTTCGAGAAGAGGGTCTTTTTTTATAACATGTGTTGTTATAAAACAATGAAAAACATCCCTGCTTCTGCAGCGTTAGTGCGACTGGATTGCTGTTTAAGTAACGGCTTTCTATCACATCATTTACGCGAGTGACTCACTTCCTTCAGGTTGAGTGTGACGCTGCTCCACTGAGCTCCCCTCACTCAGGCTGAGGGTACTGTACCTCACCAGGTGTGCTACAAGTCGCTTTGCCACAGGGCTTGTTTCGACAGGGCTCTACCCCCTTCCAATGCCCCCCCATTTCTGCTTCTGTACACAGGTGTGGTACAAGTGTTTAGTTTGTAGGGTAAATATCATCCCCAACATTCACACCATCTCATAAAGAGAAGGAAAGGCTCACAGGAAGTGAAATACAGTCTTCAAGAATATTTAAATACACAATATGCAATATACAGTATCAAATATGCAATATATGCATATTCAGACTTCAGCGTAGGATCCTAAACTGTAAATATCCAGCATTCTAAACACAGGAAGTGTCAGACTCTCCCTTCACAGGGAATATAGGGGGCCACGTGTTCCTCAGCTGTTTGACAGCGCTGGGGACTCTCGGTTAAATCCTCAGGAAAACAAACGGCGAATGTCAGGGAGACGCGGCGTCACACCGCCTGCGCACCGAGGCGACCTAGTGACCCAGGGCGGACGAGGCAAGGCGGGTCAGGCTGGCAGGAACTAACAAGATATCACGGGTTACGCCTGGCTTAAAGAAATCAAATAAAGGAGAGGAATGCCCAGAAGGAGGTGGCGAACCTTCAGCAGTGCAACGTGCCTGGATCTAAAGGGCGGAACCAGAACAAGCACAGCGACACGGACCGTTTGATGCATCACAGATAACAGGCATTAAGCGGCACGCCGGCGAGTTAATATCCTTCCTCACTGGCATTCCTTCTTCCTCCCTCCCGGCGTGTGAACCCGAAAAGGAGAACTTGTTATAAAAAACGGCCGTTTGCCTGAAATGCCAGCCACTCGCCAAAGGTGCCATATTGACTTAAGATGTATATACAGTACTGTATATATGCAAAAGTCTTATAATGATCATGCTGGTGTAAAACTCTTATTTGATGTCTTGTGACCAGTGTGTCAGCG